GACACGTCCGAAACGTCCGAAACGTTTCGGAATTTCAACACTCCGAAACGAAACAGTAGTTGAATCACAAAATTCCAGTGTTTCGGTCGAAACGGTACTGTTTCGGACCGTTTCGGTCGAAACGGCATTGTTTCGAACCGTTTCGACAAAACAGTGATATATTCGGTTCATTATGAATAATTACATTTAATACCCCATTATAATTACATTTAATACCCACTGTAATTACATTTAATACTCACTATAATTATATTTAATATCCCACTATAATTACATTTAATTCCCACTGCTCTTCTGTCTTTTATAATTTTTTTGTTATAAGAATAAATAATTACACTTAATACCCTACTATAATTATATTTAATACCCATTATAATTATATTTAATACATACTGTAATTATATTTAATACCTCACTGCTGTGCAAGTTTTTTGCTTTTTTTTTTTGTTATAAGTATTAACAATTACATTTAATACCCTAATGTAATTATATTTAATACCTACTGTAATTACATTTAATACCCACTGCAATTACATTTAATTTTTAAGTATACATAAGTATCATTAATTTAATTTGATACCCTTCATTATTAGTATTATAATAAAATAGTATTATTAATTGGATTATATTACCGTAATAATATGATTTGGAGTAACTATTGTCATCATATTTATGTCACATATGGAGTTTCTCTAAGTAGCTACCCAGAGCCTACACCGATGTATGAGCCTGCTCGACACTCCACAGGGGAATGGATGTAACCATGTAAGTATGTACTCATTAGCATTTCATGTGTATTATAAGACCTTAATATTATGTAAAAATGTGTTTATTTCATAAAAATTAAGTGTTTGAAACTAATTGAAGTGACTTTCGCCTCAAGTCAAGCCTTTTTTTCCTTCAAATTTAAATTTATTCTTGTATAAATTGATGTTAACCTAATAAATATGTTGAATTAATAAATTATTTAGCATATCTTTATAAATTAATGGATTGTATTTGTGTTTCTATGCGTTTCCATATTTTTTCTGCGTTTCCATTGCGTTTCGGAAATGTTTCCGAAACGTTTCTATTTTTGAGTTGACCGAAACGGTACTTCGAAACGAAATTTTGATCCTTGACAACAACCTTGTTGCACAGGTCACAACTCAACATCTAGTCAATTTTTACTGTTTCCTTTTGATCTATCAGTTAGCTACAATACGTAAAGCAACTGGTAAAAGGGAAAAAATGACAACCAAATCTCTGTTGTGCTTACACAAAATGCCTGAAAAAATCAAGGTTTCTCAATAATATTAAGTGTTCTTCAACAAGTTTACTTCCCAATTTTCTCAAGGTCACTCGAGTTGCTTGCCAATTTTTTCAAACCTAGTGATTGAGCAAACACACAAAAAAATTGAAGAATTGCTTAAACCTGTGGTATTACTCTCAAACCCAGTCATTTGTCAAACATGTCTATAAAAACCAAGCATTTTGGGCATTTTCTGCCCTAATCTGAGACCTCATCCTCACTCTCACCACCTCAACTCTCCCCTCTCGCAACTCTCTCTCTCTCTCTCTCTCTCTCTCCAGATCTCACACTCACCCATCACCACACCAGAAGCAATTACCTGGTACATTCTCCTCCAGATGCACGACTTCGTTTTTTCGTCTCTTTCTCTCATCCCCATAGTCCTAGTTGGCATGGTGAGACGCTACATGTGTTGTAAGTAAGTTGTTTTATGTTTCCGTGAGTACCTTTCCATGATTCTAGATTTGGTTGTATCTATAAATTTTTTTTACATAAATTTTGATCTGCTATTCGTTGTGACAATTGTAATAATATATGAGTTTGTTTGTCATGTGGCTTCAAGGAATTGTGTTGTTTGTTTCAACTAGGAGGATTATGATTATTGTATATTAACGATATATAGGTATTGCCTTTCATGAATGTGTTCTTTGGGTTTGTAGATTGGTTACGTTCGGGCACCATTCACATATCCATTTAGTTTAGTGACAATGGATGGGTCTTGTGCCAGGTTTAAAAACTATGATAGCACCAGAAGATATTATTTACCAAAAAGAAAAGAAAAGGAAACTAACACTGACTAAAAATTTAATGGCATATATCCATACTTCACAGGGATTGCTGAGGTCCTACTCACCAAGACTAAGAAACTAAGCACATTTTATCTCCAATTCTTACATCGCTAAAGAGGCACTAGATTCAATATGCTTCCAAATAAATGAAAATGGATCTAAACCATGTCGTTCTGCAGACTTGTTATACAGTAACCTTGGAAAGACACGTTGCACCTTTCATTCACGGAAAACACAGAATAAAGATTTGCAATTGGTAAAACATAACAACACATGACTTCCAATTTACAAAGTTCAAGCACGTATGCAATCCCAGTCAAAGAAGCAGTTTAATTTCACAAAAGCCTTGAAGGCTCAACCTTCGACTCAATGTACTGGAGTGTCCTGGAAGAAAATTTTTAAATACTAATCAAGTACAATTAAAGAAAGGTAGAAGGAGGGGAATCCAGCCCTATGTTTTCTTTCATAACAAAATTCTTGGGAATTTAGTGGACAAGGAAACTTGATTCTCTCAGATGCACTACATCTAGAAGCAGCAATTCAGATGACAATGTCTCATACAATCAAAAAGAGAACAAATCAACAAATAGTCTCTAACAAAATATCAAATCAGACATATAATAATTAATTTAGACAATTGCTGAAATTATACAATATAAGTGAAGCACTCTCAAATATATGAGCAATGTACAATATTAATGGGACCCCTCAAAATGCCTGAAATTGTAGTCATAAAAAATTTTAAGTCTAAACTATTTAATGGGACCCCCAAAATGAATCCAAAGATATTCTAGAGAAGCAAAAAAGGGAGTAGAAAGAAGAATTTGTGGCATGTGAGCATTCATTCACAGATATCAGTTTCCGAGTCAATCCAAATGGAGAAAAAAAAATTCTATATCTTAATCGTATCAATACATTTACATATTTCACTGTCTAATCAAGCTAACAGGTCATTTGCCCTCTCCACTCCAACACTCTGGTTAAAATTTAAGTGTCTAATCTAATCAGCTAGCAGGTCATTTGCCCTGTAAACTACAACACTGGTGTTAAAAGATAAGGTTGGACATATGCATTAATCAAGTGTTATTCCATCAGCAGTTGCCCCCAGTGTATGTTCACAACTTCCATCATCCGATAACAACCTCCTTAATCAGTCCAATATAGCACAACCAAGAGCTATCTTCATCAAATTCTCAACAACATTCTTGGGGGACTACTTCCAGAATTCAATGATTTCAGATGTTCCACCAAAATATCAAATAAATGGGACCAGTCACTTGTCCAAGTATCAACTCTAGATTCAACGGAGTTTACACGAGTTCATGAATTAACAAAATGCAAAACGAAAACATTGCCAATCTCTGCAATGCAGAGGCAAGAATTGGTTGGAGTAGCAGTTGCTAAAGCATGTAGAGGCTTATGGACCATTTTGTGACAGGCTTGAACACAATTTCATAATGCTCTAAATAGGACTAAAGAGGTGTGCCACAGGCATCTGTGGCCATAGCTATGGCTACTACTGGTAGAGCTGCACTTCGGGCGGGTCAACCCTAGATATATAATCTTTAACCTTAACCCTAACCCTACCTCAACCCGAGTACTGCCTGAATTTAATTCGAGCAAGCTTTAAATTCAAGTTACTTAATTCAAGCTGATTTCATATTAAAATTTTGGTTGGGCTTGAGTTATTTAATTCAAGTTAATTTTTTGAAGTGTAGATTTGATTTTTTCAAGTGATCTGAGATAAAGGACGAGCCATAGATGAAGAAAGAGGGAGTGAGAGAGGGAGGAGTGATGAGTGAGAGAGGGATCTGGGAGTGATAGAGGCGCACAGGTGAAGACTTGAAGTAAAGTGAAAGTCTGGACTCTGAAGAGTGGAGATAAATACTAACTCTAATTAACTATATTTATGTATATTCGGATTCAATCCGATTTAATAATCGGATTCAACCCGATTTTAATATTTAGGTTGAAATCTGACAACCCGAGGCTTGCCCAAATTTAATTCGGGTTGAAGTTTTTTTGCCCAAACCCAACCGAAGTATTAAAAATTTTAACCCAAGTCCTTTTTTCTAGGTTGGGCTTGGATTGAATTCGTGATGGCCCGCCCAAGTTGCACCCCTAACTACTAGAACCCAACTTGCGGGGTGGGAAATTGGAAATTATCATCCAGTAGGCACGAGAATGTAGCAACCAACGAATGGTTAGAATACATTTAATGGCTCTTGTAAACATAATATAATATTTGTTGGGCTCAAAACACAACCTAACTTTCGTTCATATAACAAGTGTTTAACATACCTCCAACTTGTTCTTAGGTGGCATTGGAAGCACGGGGCATGCTTGCCGTGCGTGATGTCAAAGTCTAAAATCTAAAAAAATTGGGACTTAGAAATTGCTTTAGTGGTGAAATCCTGGTGCCTCCAGGGATATTTTCTCTTTTCAATTGTAACAGTTACATTGGTTATTGTTACCAGAGAATGAAACCTACACTTGGACACTCCAAAAAATTCTAGTGTTGACTGTAATGTAACAGAATAACTCTGCGATATCCTGTTCACGCTTGGTGGAATCACATTCATCTCAAAATTGGAATCCCTTTTCTGGAATTCGTTAGACATAAGCTTTACTTTCCAAATCTGCTTTACATTCAAAATCTAAAAAATGAACGAGTTATGACAACTGACAAGGGACAAGATAAACGAATCTATTACCAAAACACAGTTGTTTTGGAACTTTAATACCAAAATACGGCATTTTTTAACTTATTTACCAAACTACGACACTTTTTAAAAAACGGAGTCAATAATTCCGCTTTTATTAAAAAGCGAATTCAACAACCCTGCTTTTGTTAAAAAACGGAATCAAGTGTTTCAACTGATCTGACTGGAGGAACAGGATACATAGCATCATGGTTGATAATGAGGCTCCTTCAAGATGATTACTCTGTCCATGCTACTGTTAGATTTGATCTAGGTAAAGTTCTTCCTTTTTCTAAAACCAATGATATTTCTTTGTTATGGCATATAAATGAAGTGGTAGCAAATATATTAGGACTATATAGTAGACTGTGGCTTGTCTTATCTGAATTGTGTTGCCACAAAATTTATTCAATTCATACCCAATTCACGATAATCATGTATAATCAGTTTATGGCGTAAATAATCATATATAATATCATTTATAACGTGTATAAAAATGAGTCCCAGTCGATTTATTCATCAAATGGTCCTATCGACCAAGTTGATTAGATTCTAAGAGAACAAGCACAATCTCATGTTTTTTAGCAATTTTTTCATGGTTGCTTGTTAATTTTGCCCATGAAAATTGTTTCAAAAACCTCATGATTTCTGTTTGATGTATGTCCAGAAAGAAAGAAAGATATCAGTTACCTAACAAACCTACCAGGAGCATCAAAGAAGCTCCATATTTTCAATGCAGACCTTGATGAACCTGACAGTTTCAATGCAGCCATTGAAGGGTGCACCGGAGTTTTTCACCTCACCCACCCGGTTGATCTCACCAAAAAAAAATCCGAGGAAGTCGTCACCAAAAGAGTAGTAGAAGGAACCATAGGAATCCTAAAGATTTCCTTGAATTCGAAGATGGCGAAAAGCGTGTTTAGCAGACAGTGGCTTGTCTTATCTGAATTATGTCGCCACAAAATTTATTCAATGCATACCCAATTCACGATAATCATGTATAATCAGTTTATGGCGTAAATAATCATATATAATATCGTTTATATCGTGTATAAAAATGAGTTTCAGTCGATTTATTCATCAAATGGCCCTATCGACCAAGCTGATTAGATCCTAAGAGAACAAGCACAATCTCATGATTTTAGCAATTTTTTCATGGCTGCTTGTTAATTTTGTCTATAAAAGTTGTTCCAAAAACTTTATGATTTATGTTTGATGTATGTCCAGAAGGAAAAAAAAACATCAAGTACCTTACAATCCTACCAGGAGCATCAGAGAAGCTCCATATTTTCAATGCAAACCTTGATGAACCTAACAGTTTCACTGCAGCCATTGAAGGGTGCACCAGAGTTTTTCACCTCGCCTATCCGGTTGATCTCATCGAAAAAGAATCCGAGGATGTCGTCACCAAAAGAGCAGTAGAAGGAACCATAGGAATCCTAAAGGCTTCTTGAATTCGAAGACGGTGAAAAACGTGTTTAGCAGACAGTGGTTTGTCTTATCTGAATTGTGTCGCCACAAAATTTATTCAATTCATTCCCAATTCACGATAATCGTGTATAATCAGTTTATGACGTAAATAATCATATATAATATCGTTTATATCGTGTATAAAAATGAGTTCCAGTCGATTTATTCATCAAATAGTCCTATCGACCAAGCTAATTAGATCCTACGAGAACAAGCACAATCTCATAGTTTTTAGCAATTTTTTTCATGGCTGCTTGTTAATTTTGTCCATGAAAATTGTTCCAAAAACCTCATGATTTTTGTTTGATGTATGTCCAGAAAGAAAGAAAGACGTCAGCTACCTAACAAACCTACGAGGAGCATCAGAGAACCTCCATATTTTCAATGCAGACCTTGATGAACCAGACAGTTTCAATGCAATAACTGAAGGATAAACCAGAGTTTTTTACCTCGCCCACCCGGTTGATCTCATCAGAAAAGAATCCGAGGAAGTCATCACCAAAAAAACAGTAGAAAGAACCATAGAAATCCTAAAGGCTTCCTTGAATTCGAAGACGGTGAAAAGCGTGTTTACAAAACACATTTTTCTCATTGCCCAAAAATTTTTTTTCCTATAAAAGCGAGCTTGTTAAATCCGCTTTTTAACAAAAGTGAAGTTATTGAATCCGCTTTTAAAAAGTACCGTAGTTTGATAAATAAGTTCAAAAGTGTCGTATTTTGGTATTAAAGTTCCAAAATAACTGTGTTTTGATAATAGATTCCAACATAAACATTGTATCTGACGCTGTTTAAGAAGGATAAGCAGCCTTTACCCAAGAAATGCAAAAAAAATGAATGAAGAACTAATGATCTAAGGAAGTATAGTTAGCAACAGCTTCATTCATTATAATCTGGCTTGTCTTTATGTTCATTTGCAACTAGCAATTTACTTTCGCCAAAAAGCCTGCTTTAAAGATTATTTCATAAGGAGAAAAAAACCTTGGCCCATTGATACCAGTTTGTTACAGCATAACCAACAACCAGTGTAAGAAGGTACCACTGACCTAATATGCATTAAACAGGCATTGGGGGATCAAAAACATCAATCAAACAATTGTAGCTTCTACAAAATATATAGATATAGAAATAATAAAAAGCAAAGTAGGAACATAGAATTCAATGGTAAAATTAAGAATCACAAGAACATTTACCTCCTGAGGAAGTCCATTCCAGCCACCTAATCCTGTTCCAGCAACATTAGACATAAGGTTTGAAGATGCCATCGGACTGGGGCTCCTGTGCCGCAGTCTATCAAGTTCACCAAAACCTTGGTTTGGCATCATTCCAGAAACCCGTAAAATCTCTGGACAAATAAAGCAGCATTTAACTATGATTAATCAACATCAACAGCCAACGATTAAAAAAAAAAACAACGAACAGCGGAAAGATGATATAGCTGGAACTATTTTGCAGAAAGATTATGAATCAAACATTCTGTATTTGACTATAATCAATATATGTATGAACATCACAAACTTAGCGGCCACTTGGAGCTAGTAAGGAAAATTTGTTGTATTCCATTGGTTTTGTTCAGACTCACCACAGTATCAGTTGGAGCTTAGATTATGGAGAAGTAAGGACACTAGAAGCCTAGAACATTAGTTAAACTCCAAACTATTCTGTGAATGTTTTGTCATAAAAACTAGAAAGTCAAACAAATTCCATGCCAGTTTTTATGTCACCAACAGCCTGAATGATAATATTTCAAAGTCATCGGAACCTAGGGGAAAACCTTTTTGAGCCCAATATGGTACTATTTTGCATTATTAAGTGCAATTTTTCATAACTCGATCAAAGAATCCAAGCTAACTCAATTGAAGATAAAAATTAAAATCTACCATGCATCTGAATCCACCCTTCCTAAGAATTGATATTTCTGCATTGCTAATTGACCAAGTATATGCATATAGAGGAAATGTAGGAGTGTTTATGGTTGGAAAAGCTTACCAAATCACAGGTTACACATGGTCAACCACAAACAGAACTATGTACTAGCAACAGTAGAATCTATAGGTATCCACTGATAAGATAATTAACCAGGTATGAAACAGTTCAAAAATATTGAGCATTTAGCAATGTGATGAAAACAGAATCAACCCACTGTCGTAGTATATAAATTGAGCAAAAATACATTTTGTTTTCTAAACAATTCATGGAGTCTACCGACCATCCTTCATACCACTAAATCTGAAATAAATCCCACTTGCATATTGAACAAAGTCCCTCATTAACTGAACCTTTGGTGATTGTGTAAATGATCCCATTGTGCTGAATTAAGAAAAAGGGGTTTCATCTGCCATTAAAAACACTCAATGCGTTGATTCCACATAAAAAGGCAATCGCAAAAAAAGTAACCCCCCCAAAAAAAAATAAAAAACTGCAATATACGAATAGGGCAATATAAAAGGGAAAACAAATTCACAGATGCATGATTGATTGAAGAATCAAAGCCGACAACAGGTGGTAGGAACTGTAAACCATGGTTGAAAGTAAAACCAAACTAGTCGGATCTAAGTTGTGTTTTTGATACACATGCAGACAAAGTCACATTGCAGGAATGCAGTTAAAATAACAAATTCAGAAATCCTAGATCCAAAACTCAAAGACGATTCACAGTGTTCCAAACTAACCTTGATTCAAGAGTCTGCTGCATATTGGAAGAACTTGCACGAAAGGTCCAAGCTTTTGATGCTCAGCCAAGAGCTCCGACAAGTACTGACCACTGCAAGTGCAAACCATGAGTGGAACGGAAACATAGATAAAAACCCCGGGCGCACAGATCAAACAAGAAAGACGATTCAAATAACCTAAGAGAGTAATTAAGATTAAAGAAGCAAGAAATCAAATTGAAGAAGTAGTATGAATAGAAAGGTGTAGTGTACCTGTCGATATCTGGGGTATTTCTAATCTGTGGAGAAACAGCTCTTGCAGGTGAAAAGTTGGGATTATACAGACCTGACATGACTTTTGCTATTTGACGACAGCAGCTTGTCGATGGAAATTGATACAGGGTTTAGCCGCAGAAGAAAAAGGAGAGAGAGACAACCAAAGCAGAAGGGTTTGTGTTGTGTTGTGCTGTGTTGTGTGTCAATAAAGAGCGAAGTTCGAAAGGCCGGTGAAATTTTGCAGAAAGGAGCCCAATTTTTATTTTTTATTTTTTTTAAATCTCTTTATATATGCAATTTATATATTGATTTTCATTTACCCCAGACTGCGTTGCTCACTCGCCCCCTTGTATTGTACATGCACAGAAAACCGTGTAGTGAAAATTTTGAGATTTGAAAAGTAGGCTGACTGACTGACTGACTCTGTTGCTTTGTGTATGTTATGTGTAGGCGTGGCCTCTGTCAGAGGGGGTGAAAAATGGAGATCTTTTCATAAGCACACACTACGCGTATAGAATTAAAAATTAAAAAAAAAATATCAAGAGAAAATTACACCCAAGTTTTTTAAAATTTATTATTTAATCGTTTAAATCTTTTAATATATTTAAAATATTATACACAAAAGTCATGAGGTTGTCTGATGGTATATTACATCTAGACCTCTAAAATTTGAAGCCTGTAATATTTAAATTTCTCAATTTTAAAATATTATACATAGACCAAAAATATTCTAATTAAAGATAGAATATCAAATATTTTAAATTTTATAATCAAAATTTATATTTTATTATGTCATTTGTTAAATTAAAATTTAAAAAAAAAATTCAAAAATCATAATTAGTATTATTGATGTCAAAATTTGGATGACCTTTACGTTAATTTGTTAGGCTTAATCACCTCAAAAAGAAGTTGTAGACCAGATAGAAGCTCTCGGGGTCAACTCTTCGATACGTAAGTCAATAATTTACTCAAATGTATTAACGGTAGGTGGAGCATCAATGAAGCTCTATTTATAGGAGATTTAGCAGTTTAAATTGTGCAGGGATAATAATTGAAAATCTTATTAATCATAAATAGATAAGGATTAAAACTTTATTTTTATATGCTGATTTGATATTATTGGTACAATAAATCTATATCTATATCTATATTACTTATAAATGTCAGCATCTATGAAAAAATTTTAATTTCTATTTAACCCCTAATTATTACCTTAAAGACAATTATGCCCACAAAATAATAGCTAGATAAATTTATTTTTAGCATCTATGAAAAAATTTGATTTCCTATTTCACCCCTAATTATTACCTTAAAAGCAATTATGCCCACAAAATAATAACTAGATAAATTTATCTTTATTACTTCCAAATTTCTTGTTAGATAAACTTTATTACTAATATTTCAAAATTTTTGCTAAATAAACTCTATAACTATATATTAGGTAGATAAACTTTATCTCTATGACTTCCAAAATTTTTGCTAGATAAACTTTATCGCTATGGCTTGCTAGTACATTCTTCTTTTCTATTCAATTGGTAAACTCAACTAAAATTTTAATACCATGAGAAAAAATTTTGCTATTTTTTAGGTGATAAACACAACCATCGAAAATTCATTATTCATTGATATATAATAAAAATATTAGAAGAGTAAAGAGTCAAAACCATATATTTTTATTTTTTTCATACATGTTAGACTTCTAAAATATTTTGAATTGCTTTATTAGAAGTGTATATAGATAGATAGACTCTTATCTCTTTTGTAACACTATTAACATATTTGGCCTTATATCGCTACAGTAAATTTTTTCTTCAAAATTCATTAAAATTAGTGGCCTTACATCTCTATCCCCTTGACGTTAAACATATTATGGTTGTGCAGATTAGTGGGTCGATGGTGCTTAGTGTCGTCTACCTGTAAGCTTTTTTTTTTTCTTTGTCAAAACATGCCTATTGCTGATATGGTATTTTTTTACTTTATTTTCCATCTGTTTGGGTATTGTCATTGCATAAATGTTGTTGTC